TTCTCCAGCCTGATTTAAACACTTTTGCATACGCTCAAACCAATTGTCGAAGCACTTTTTCCACTCCAATTGAGACACCTCCAAAACATGGTTTTTGAATGCTTCAACAGCATCTTCTGGCGACGAAAATCGTTGACCATGCATTTTTTTCTTGATGTGCGGGAATGAAAAGAAGTCATTGGGCGCCACGTCAGGGCTGTACGGCGGATGACCCATCAATTTGACGGATGACCCATTATTTTGATGCCCATACGCATAGATCCATGATTCGTCACTTGTGACGATCTCATAAACGTCTTTTGAAGCACTGCGAACGTATTTTTTCAATATTTCTTTGCACCAATCGTCACGAGCCTTTTTTGAGCGATTGTCAAATTGTGCGGGATCCAACGAGAACAATCCTTTTTTACAGTCAGGTGTTCATGCAATATCGAATGTATGCTGGTGGGAAAAATACCCAAGGATGCCTGTATCTCACGGTATGTCACATGACGATTTTGCATTATCAGTTCACGCACGGCATCAATGTTCTCTGGCACAACGTCCGTTTCTGGACGAACTTCACAGAATTCGTCGTTGAGCGAGCGTCGGCCACGATTGAATTCATTAAACCAGTTTTTCACAGTGCTATAGGGTGGTGCTTCATCACCATACAAAGATTTAAGTTCATCAATGCACTCTTGTCGTGATAATCGACATCGAAAATTGTGAAAAATAGTCGCGCGAAAATGTTCACGTGTTAATTCCATTTTTTGGCCGAGACGAATTTTTTAAGTCTCTGTAAATAAAACAATTCACAATTAAATGACAACACATTCTGAGTGATGTTTTGCTCAAAAATGTCAACCTTTCCAGTGGAAATGTCAGATTGCACCTGGCAACACTTAGTGTTGCCTAGGCCAGAAATATATATATTTTTTTTTTTTTTTGGTGTGTCCATATTTTTGACAGTTGGTACATTGTGGTATTGTTCTTTTTGGATGGGGAGGTTCAAAATTTATTTTGCAGTGCAGTAGGTCCTTGATATTGTAAATTTCCTTGTTATTTACATCATGTTTCATTTCGATTGATTAACGGAGATTTTGTGCGCGGATGTAATACGTTTTGTATATTGCATACTTCATGTCCTAGTTCAGCTAGCTCTAATATAATTTCATTTTTGTTAGCGGAGTGGTGCATACCGCGTAGGAAGATCTTAAACCCTTATAGAAGATCTTTTTTGGCTTATACGTGTAGTACTCTACGCTCTTTTCTTTAAGAAATTTTACTATGCTAGTGTAATCTGTTGATTCGTATGGCTGGATTTTTATTTCATTGTTTTGTAATACACGAATTTCATATTTAGATATTTGTAGTGCATCTAACGTTTTAATTAGGTTGTCTAGTAGCTGTACTTTTTGCACGTAAATGGGTGGTGGTTTTTTATTTTTAGCCGTTTGATTTTGTGTTGTTTTGCTATCTTTAGTGGGTTCTTTATCATTATCAGTTGCTAGAACAGCAAACTTATTTGTAGCTAAGAAATATTCGTTTAATGTGTACTGTTTTTTGTTTTGTTTGTGCTTTTTGGCGTTTATTTCATTGATTTGCTTACCAGGGGAGCTAGGAATTTTCTTATTCACTACTGGCGTGTTGAAGCCATTGTTTTTATTTGTGTTTGCATCTTCCGTCGTGTTTGCAGTTCTGGTGTTAATATCAGAGTTTTCCAAATTCTGAATGAGTTTTGATGGTGAATTGTGTTGATGATGGTTTGATTGTTGGAGTTTTATGTGGTACTCCTGCTGCATTTGTTTTTTCTCTATTTGCTGGTTCTGTTGTGGTTGTTTTTGTTGGGTTTGCAATGATTTTTCTTCCAGTTGATTTGATTGTAGAAGTGTTGTTTGATTATTATTATTGGATGCTTTTGAGCATAGGACAGCTTGTTGGTGCGTTTTATGCTGTTGTTGTTGTTCTTGCTGTGATTGTTGCTCGTGATTTCACTCGCCTCCACCTTTTGGTGGAGTTCGATTGACCGGCATTACGATAAATTAAGCGATTACCAAAATAGGATATGAAATTGGAGTTTTCTACTTGACAATAAAGGTTACTATTATGAACAGTTTGAGGATGACTGATCTTGTGTTATAACACTTTTAATATAATGGTTTGTGTACATACTAATCAAAGAATAGGTTGTATATGCTGTCTCAGCTGAATACTTTAATTTTGTGTAATTACTACGAACAGCTTTTTCACTAATAAAATAAAATATAATAATAGCTGTCTCTATCAGCACTTTTTGTTTTGTTTATATATACACAAAACCGCACTGTTTTTTTGTTTGAATGCTTATTCACTTTTGATTATAAGCTTTAGAAATTAATTTGCTGCCTCTGTCAGCTGTTTGAGTTTTTTAATAAAGTTGTGCAAAAAGAAAAAAAGTCAACAAAAATCGAAAAAAGCGCGCGCTATTTTCAAATTAATATTTTATGCACTTTAAACTTTTACTAATTGTTTTTTGCCCAAAAATGATCTATTTTTGTGAATTTGTATTAATAACAAAAGTGATATTTATAAGAGTATATCTTATTTACTTGTTTTTATACTGTTATTTTATATTATTATTTCTTCGAGACCGGTTAAAAAACACGTCCGTTCACTACGAAACTTTATAACATAATGATTTATTATATCATCTATGCATTAATTTTAATTATTTTGTAATATTTAATTTATTTAATTTAAAGAAAAGTTTTCTTTTTCTTTTTATCCACTATTAATAGTTCACTCATGTAATTCTTAATCTTGTTTTTGAATTATTACTTGAAGTTCCATTATGTAAAAATGTATACTAAATGCTAAATTTGGGCAGTTGTATAATAACGTTGAGTTGACGTTTCACCTCCATAACCAAAAGTTTCACACGATACAATCTTCACATTAGTAAATTTTTGAAAAAAAACAATGAGTTCAGGTTTAAGTTACATTCAATTTTTTTTATATCGTAACCTTTCTATATAATTAATGTTTAACACTCATTCATTTGTGTTGAAACGGAAAACACAATTCTAACCAACAGTTACACAATATTCATATTAGCTAGTCTTTAAAATTAATTTAGTAGTATCAGTTTTAAAACTTCAGTTAAGCTCTTTATTTGATAGCACAACACACTCTTCACGTTAGTGTCCTATTCCAGAATAACGCTAACAACAGCACACAAGAACTTGTAAAAATACAAATAAATTTGAACTCATCTTATATACCTAAACTTGATGCAAAACCTAATGTTCGACCATAGAATTGCCCCAATTACCTCATTAGGTTTTTTATCATATTTTCATAACATACTCTGCTAAATTCGCAAAGGTTTTCATTAATATTTGTGTAATTCTTCCGTATTTAATCTTTTCAAAGTCATTTACATTATGACACCAATTACTAACCGAATACCAAAAATCAGCAGGGGTATTTAGGCAACTGATTAGTTGCTTAGTAGATGATTACAACAAAAATTTGCATACAAAAAAGAAACTAAGCAGAGAATCTACTATTTCGGATTCTCAGATTAGTGAAAATTTGATTAATAGTGCTGCAAGTACCAAGTGACGGCGCTTAAAGCATAGGGTGTCTTGAAAAGAAAATGCAAAAATAATAACATAAATTAAGAAATAAAATTCAGTAAAACTATAATTTTTAAAGGGTTAAAATATAATTAATAAAAATGAAATTAATTTTATAAAAGTATAAAATTGAATACTCTATGACACGTTTGCAATTTTGTTTATTTGATAAATTTTATGATAAATTTAAATGATATTAAAATTTACGAATATTTAAGTATTTCACTCTTAACATACGTTTCGCTTTTGCTGTTGATACGAGTGCTGCCAAGGCATTTGCATACAACAAACTAATCAGATTACACCTTTTGGGTCGTTCAAGCAACTGATTAACATCAAAATGCTATTTTTTTTATATGAGATTTCTGAATCAACTAAGCAACTAATCACTTGCCTGAATACCTCTAGCATTTCTTATCGTCGAACTGACGGGCTGGCTTTAGTCAGCAACTGCCAACATGCAAATAACCTTGCCTATTTTTAGGGAAATGTACGATCAACTAAGATCGTACTCTTACACATATTTCACGGAAAAACTGCAAAACGTAAAGTTTAATAAAATAATCATTAAACTCACAACAAACTTTTCTTCATTCATAATACCAAGGATCAGCCAACTGTAAATTATTCAGATGAAGTTACTTGGACTGGATCTGCATACTGAGTAATGTGGATGTAAGTGGCAGCACTATAGCCTCAAGTTCATAAATATCTTTCGGATCATAAACGGAGTACATAGTAAGTCTCATTTTTGCAACTGTAACGACATTTATGTTCGTTTTGTTGCGTTGATACGGAATATGGAACCTTTGATCAAGATCTTCTGTAATTAAACTCGTCTGCGAACCAGAATCAATCAAAGCCCTTACCGTATATTGTTTTTGCATCTTGCTTCCTAAATTTACCATTGCTTTTCCAAGTAACACTATTTGGCTTTCTTTGATGGTGGTACTTAATGCTACTTCTGCTGTTGAATGCTTTTGTTTTGCTTTTACGAGGGCTGATATATATATTTCTGGCCTAATAATGAAAATGCGAATATTTATCATCAAAAATGGTTTTATTGTTTTTCTAAATATTCTCCAGCCTGATTTAAACACTTTTGCATACGCTCAAACCAATTGTCGAAGCACTTTTTCCACTCCAATTGAGACACCTCCAAAACATGGTTTTTGAATGCTTCAACAGCATCTTCTGGCGACGAAAATCGTTGACCATGCATTTTTTTCTTGATGTGCGGGAATGAAAAGAAGTCATTGGGCGCCACGTCAGGGCTGTACGGCGGATGACCCATCAATTTGACGGATGACCCATTATTTTGATGCCCATACGCATAGATCCATGATTCGTCACTTGTGACGATCTCATAAACGTCTTTTGAAGCACTGCGAACGTATTTTTTCAATATTTCTTTGCACCAATCGTCACGAGCCTTTTTTGAGCGATTGTCAAATTGTGCGGGATCCAACGAGAACAATCCTTTTTTACAGTCAGGTGTTCATGCAATATCGAATGTATGCTGGTGGGAAAAATACCCAAGGATGCCTGTATCTCACGGTATGTCACATGACGATTTTGCATTATCAGTTCACGCACGGCATCAATGTTCTCTGGCACAACGTCCGTTTCTGGACGAACTTCACAGAATTCGTCGTTGAGCGAGCGTCGGCCACGATTGAATTCATTAAACCAGTTTTTCACAGTGCTATAGGGTGGTGCTTCATCACCATACAAAGATTTAAGTTCATCAATGCACTCTTGTCGTGATAATCGACGTCGAAAGTTGTGAAAAATAGTCGCGCGAAAATATTCACGTGTTAATTCCATTTTTTGGCCGAGACGAATTTTTTAAGTCTCTGTAAATAAAACAATTCACAATTAAATGACAACACATTCTGAGTGATGTTTTGCTCAAAAATGTCAACCTTTCCAGTGGAAATGTCAGATTGCACCTGGCAACACTTAGTGTTGCCTAGGCCAGAAATATATATATTTTTTTTTTTTTTGGTGTGTCCATATTTTTGACAGTTGGTACATTGTGGTATTGTTCTTTTTGGATGGGGAGGTTCAAAATTTATTTTGCAGTGCAGTAGGTCCTTGATATTGTAAATTTCCTTGTTATTTACATCATGTTTCATTTCGATTGATTAACGGAGATTTTGTGCGCGGATGTAATACGTTTTGTATATTGTATACTTCATGTCCTAGTTCAGCTAGCTCTAATATAATTTCATTTTTGTTAGCGGAGTGGTGCATACCGCGTAGGAAGATCTTAAACCCTTATAGAAGATCTTTTTTGGCTTACACGTGTAGTACTCTACGCTCTTTTCTTTAAGAAATTTTACTATGCTTGTGTAATCTGTTGATTCGTATGGCTGGATTTTTATTTCATTGTTTTGTAATACACGAATTTCATATTTAGATATTTGTAGTGCATCTAACGTTTTAATTAGGTTGTCTAGTAGCTGTACTTTTTGCACGTAAATGGGTGGTGGTTTTTTATTTTTAGCCGTTTGATTTTGTGTTGTTTTGCTATCTTTAGTGGGTTCTTTATCATTATCAGTTGCTAGAACAGCAAACCTATTTGTAGCTAAGAAATACTCGTTTAATGTGTACTGTTTTTTGTTTTGTTTGTGCTTTTTGGCGCTTATTTCATTGATTTGCTTACCAGGGGAGCTACGAATTCTCTTATTCACTACTGGCGTGTTGAAGCCATTGTTTTTTTTGTGTTGCATCTTCCGTTGTGTTTGCAGTTCTGGTGTTAATATCAGAGTTTTCCAAATTCTGAATGTTTTTTGATGGTGAATTGTGTTGGTGGTGGTTTGATTGTTGGAGTTTTATGTGGTACTCCTGCTGCATTTGTTGTTTCTCTATTTGCTGGTTCTGCTGTGGTTGTTTTTGTTGGGTTTGCAATGATTCTTGCAGTTGTAGCTGTTGATTTGACTGTAGAAGTGTTGTTTGATTATTATTATTGGATGCTTTTGAACATAGGACACACCAACAAGTGTTTTATGCTGTTGTTGTTGTTCTTGCTGTGATTGTTGCTCGTGATTTGACTCGCCTCCATCTTTTGGTGGAGTTCGATTGACCGGCATTACGACCGGCATTAAGCGATTACCAAAATAAGAAATGAAATTGAAATTTTCTAATTGAAAATAAAGTTTACTATTATGAACAGTTTGAGGATTACTGATTTTGTGTTATAAGACTTTTAATATATAGTGGTTTGTGTACACACTAAACAAAGAATAGGTTGTATATGCTGTCTCAGCTGAATATTTTACTTTTGTTTAATTACTATAAACAGCTTTTTCAGTAATAAAATAAAATATAATAAT